CCCCAAAACCCCAAAACCCCAAAACCCCAACATGATTATAATTTTATATTACAAAGAAATGAAATTATAAGATTGAAATTTAATTTAATTGATAATTTAAAATGTCTGCAGTTCAAGAAAGCGCTCCAAACAAGGATGAGCATGTAGAGGGAGAAGAAAATAGAGAAGAAGAAGCTGATAGAGAAGGCTCAGACGCCGAAATAGACGGTGGAGAGGATGGAGATGGACAAGCTAAATAAGAATATATAAAGAAAGAGTTTGTTGCTAGATCATATATTTCACCTTATGGCACTGATTAAGAGGTTAAGAATCTCATTGTAAAGAATTCAAGGCCATTAATGAAAATAAGAGTATCAAGACCAAGAAGAGAATTCGGTCATGAAGGCTTCAGTTATATTGAAAGAGATGCTGGCGAGTCAAATATGGAAATTAAAGTCACAAAGACTGGATATTTTACTAAAAAGAAGGTCCTTGAAATAGGTCTGCAAGCAGCAAACTAAATCAAGCGTTTCCAATCATAGACATACTACAACCGTATGGTAAATGCTATCGTTCAATATGATCCTAAGGATTTCATCTCAGAAATGCAAAAAATGTCATAATAGGATCAGGCAATCAGTGAGAAACTTGATAAGTTTGTCGACCGCGTAGCTTATAGAATCGAGGAAGCTTTACAGTCTAATGAATTAATCAATGTGTTCTAGGATGATTTTGAAATGCTAGGCGATGAAGAGGCTGCTCAAGCTGCTAAGATTAGCACTGTAAACATGCTTCCAAGGACATTCTTCGAGCATGATTACTGTAAAAATAAAAGAGTTTCATGCATTAAGTTCCATCCAACAAAGCCATATCTAGTTGCTATGAGTATGGTAGAGAATTTGAGCTTTGACGACAGATGTGAAATTACTGGTAAATCATTTGATTCTCATGTATTAATCATGAATTTTTCTGATGCCCACCAAGATAACTCGATCAACTATATCACTTTGAATTATGTCCTCGAAACCCCAATAGAAATCAGCACTCTTGAATTCCATCCAGAAAACTCCAGTGTTTTAGTTGGAGGATGCATCAGTGGACAGTTGATTATATGGGATCTCTCATGCTAAGAATCGAGAATTTCAGCTGGCAAGAAACCAGAAGCGATAAAAATGCCAGACGAAGAGGAAGACAAGACACAATAAACTATTGTAAAACTTAAGTAGCTGTCCCTTTCCAGCATAGTTCTCTCTCATAAAAATTATGTCGCTGATGTATAATTTATACCATCACAAGTAAAAGTTGACAGAAAAAATCCACCGGCTGAAGGAAGAATGGTTCATTTTATATCTGTATCAGAAGACGGTCTTGTATGTATTTGGGATACTAGGCCAGTTGAGAAGGAAAATCTGAGAGTGATAACTGATTTCATCTGGAAGCCATTCATGTAAATAAACTTGTTTAGATAAGACGGTTCTGGAGAGCTTGGTCTATCAAGATTATTATTCCATCCTAAATAATCAGCAACTACATTCTGGGCTGCCTCAGATGAAGGAGATTTATTATTAATTGACTGGAGTGTAAAAGCAGTTGGAGGTGGTACTGAGGAAGGTTCTAAATATGCTGAGTATGTGAAGCTTACCTTTGACTCTGAAAGAAACTATCGACCTGTACTTGCGTTAGAGAGATCCCCATTTTTTGAGGACTTGATTTTAACTATCCATGATTTCCATTTCTCAATTTGGAAAACTTCAATTGACTTTGATCATCCAATCTTCAGGTCAGCAAATACTTTCGGTTCCCATAATACTTGCGGTGCTTTCAGTCCAACAAGAGCTGGAGTCATATTCATTACTAAGACAGACGGTATTGATGTATGGGACTTTGTTGACCAATCCAACAAACCTTCCCTTACATTGAATTTCGCCACTAGTGCAATTACCTATTTTAAGTTCTAACATTTCAAGCATGAAGATAAGAAGTAATATATGGCCTATGGCGATGAACAGGATGGTACACTTTTCTTATATGAAGTACCAACCAACCTTAAAAACCCTCAAGAAAAAGAGATAGAGATTATTGAGGAATTCTGGCAGAGAGAAATTAATAAATGCAATTATGTGAAAGACAGAAGAGTAGTTAGAAAAGAAGAATACTAAGAATAATAGAAAATTGAAGAAATAAAGAGAGCAATGGAGGAGTAGTAAAAGGAGCAGTTGGATGATGTTGAATAATAGAAAGAGATGGAACAGGAAGTTTAGTATCAAGAACTTCTGATGAAATATAAGGTAGAATTCGGTTTAATGTCTCAAGAGGAGCTTGAAAATTGGAAGAAATCACAAAAGAAGAAATGATTATTCTATATAAATTACACTCTATTTAAGCTTAAATTCCAAGATATGGGGTTTTGGGGTTTTGGGGTTTTGGGGTTTTGGGG